ATCTTCTTTCTCTTCCTCCATAGCCTCCTCTCGGGCCTCCTGTTGATCTTTGACGACTTCCATGCTCTCACCTACAGTGCTTGCAGTCGACTCATCTCTCCGCCTCCCGGTGGCTCCAGTGGCGCCGCTTGCTGAGCTGAATGTCGAGCTTCTACGTCGATGCGGGGGAATCAGCATGCTGCTTCGTCGGTCGATGCCATCCTTTACGACGATGAAGTCATACTCGCGGGGAAACTGGTGTTTGTCTATGCAGTGCAAACGACGCTTCTGGGGCGTGCTGCACAGGCGATCGCAGTCGGGTAAGAGACACGCATACTACGGTTCGTTAGTTGGATCACGCGTAGGAAAGCATGCCCGACCTCTAGTACGAACGCTGCGTGGGGAAGGAGCGAGCATATCTTGGAAGGAGCTACCTAGACGAGAAAAAAAGACGATGCAAGGGGGCATATCACCTACCGTTCTCTCGCCCTGGTCTCGCTTCGCAGCATTGATGGGGTCATGATACTCTGCAATATGCAAGTGCAAGAAGTGTTGGTCTGGGAAGTTCTTCTGACATTCTCTGCACCGGTTCAGGTGCATCTTTCGGTAGTGTACCTCGTGTTCTTCAAACGAGGCGAACGTGAGAGGCTCGTGTGGGGGCAACGAACACTTCATAACGGCGGGTTGGTCAGATACTGCCGAGTTGGCATCTACATGGACAATCTTTATATCGATGGATGTCTCGCGTGAGTACCGGTAGGGCGTGCTGCGATCGTCTGACGACGAGGAGTCCCGGTGTGAGCGCTTGCGTCCCATTGTGTGTTGAGTTGATTGCGACGAGGCGCAGTATGAAAATGGCAGGGGCAGTACCTGTGAGCGTCTATCTCCAAGGCTGCCGCAGTGCTGCCGGCCGAGCGAGTGAGGTTTGGTGGGCGTCTGATAGGTGAAGGGGGGCTGAGATATGGAGACATGGTACCTTGGTGCTTGGGTGCCGTGGGTGACCGTGCTCTTAGCTTAGCTCCGGACCGCCCACTAGTTTGCAACTCCTCGTCAGCCGTCCTGACTTTCTCCATCACCGCCGCCGCCGCCATCGACTCCCACCCCGACACCCAATACCCGCGTGCTGGGCGCTGTTTGCTGCCGAGACTACGATCGCTGATTGTCCTCTACTCAGGGCACACCACTTCACCATAAATGGAGTACGCTAGTCACAACGTCCGCCGCCTCCTCCGTGCCCTGGTCTGACCTGCCCGCCGACCGTGGGGTCACATATGAACGCCGCCGGCTCTTGCACACAGAAGGCATGGCCGCGAACACCGAACAACTTGACAGGTGGGCAGCTGGCCGCTCGCCCTGCCTGCAGCATGGTGCTAATGAACTGTTCTAGGCGGGCGAAGGCGATCGAGAAGGAGCTGCACAAGCGCGCCGATGACGGTGTTGCATGCGCCGACCTAGCCGCTGTGCTGCAAGAGTAGGGCAATACTTCCACATGGTCTCACCCGGCGCCTGCGACCGCGACCGCTAATCTCTACAGGTACCGCGCTGCCTGCGAAGCCCTCATCTTCTCCAACTTCGAATACGCCTCGGCCCACGAACTGCAGACGGCGCTGTGGAATGCGCATCTGAAGGTCAACAACATCTTTAGACAGGGACATAGACTCGTGCGTCATTTGGCAACTGGCAACTGGCGGCAGAGACTTGACTAATACCGGCGCAGCTCAAGCGCTCCAAGGACCATGTCGTGGAAATCCGAAAGTTCCAAAAGGCCTACCTCCAGTTCATCAAGGCCAGTCAGCGCTTCTACCGCCAGTACATACTGAACCTCGATGCCCAGTTCGACGGGATACCAGAGCTGCGCAAGATTGCCCAGAGTTGGAAGGATGACAGTAGGCCCTCTCCCTCCGCGCCACCGGTTGCGACGGGCGCTAACAGTAGTGCAGCCTCCAAGTCGTCCCCGCGTCAGCGCATCCCCGCACACCTCAAGACACAGGTCCTCGTCTCGTGCCACCAGACGCTCATCCACCTCGGCGACCTCTCCCGCTATCGCGAAACCGAGCTCAACGAGAAGAACAAGGAGCGCAACTGGGGCCCCGCCAAAGGATACTACAACCTGGCCGCGGAGATCTACCCGCATTCCGGACATGCGCACAATCAGCTCGCTGTCATTGCGCGCGAAGACGGCGACCACTTCCGCTGCGTATACCACCTATATCGCTCGTTGGCAAGCAAGGACCCATACCCGCAGGCTAAGGCCAACCTCGCCACCCAATTCAAGCGCGTTATCGCCGCCTGGGACAACGGGCAGCTGATCAACAACCACAAGTCAGCTGACGGTAACTCGGGTCGGGCTCTGATTGCTTGGTTCGTCAGGTTGCACAGCAAGCTTTACAAGGGCGAGGAATTCGTTACCCACGATGAGTTGGAGGGCGAAGTGCTCAGTCACCTGGCAATTGAGCTCAAAGAGCGACCACTGGATTCTATACTAACCAAAATTATACTGATCAATATATCCGCCGAATATTTCGCGACAGCACAGATGCAGGGTATGTCACAAGTTGCCTATCATCCGACTGTACTGATCTCTACAGGCGAGGATCCACCCGAACACATTCTGCGCACTTATTCCTACTACCTTCGGCTCAACGTCAAGACCTTCTTTATTCTCTTGCAGATGCTCCAACCGGAACTGGACCGCATATGCGAAGGCAACGACGTGAAACATAAAAACGACGATCGCCCAGTCCATCTCTCTGATAAGATCACCGCTGTAGCGCGCCGCATTCTGCCTGGACTTCGTCTGTACAGCACCTGGTTCACGCGGTACTGGACCATACTCAACTCCAACCTCGCTGGTATCGCTGATACGCTCAACACGGTTGATGTCCAAGAGCTGTGGAAGGCTTATGCGGCTACGCTGTCGCTACTGGCCTCAAGTTTCCCTGTTGACCTGCTTCCACCAGAAAACTACATGCTTGAAGAAGACACAGACATGATTGGGTTGGAGCCACTCATCCATCCGAGCACAATGAAGGTGTGGTACGAAGGCGACAAACTGAAGCCAAAGTGGACCGAAATAGAGCGTAATCACCCGAACGTTGAGATGCTCATGCGGATTAAAGACCTGCTGATCGACGGCCTGCTTCTGACACAGAACGAGGCTGCTCCTTTGGACTTGGACCCGGCAGGTCTGCGCTTTATCTATCAGGAAGCAGGGTTACCATCAGAACTCTTAGCGAGTCCAGCCAACAAACCTGATAGTTCACCTATTCTGTCCGTACAGGCCGCCGATATGCCTCTGTTTCCACCTACGGAGATGGCCATTCCGGATGACCAGAAGTCATACAGTGTTGCCGCAGCCTCGGAGTCCGCATCTACCACACTTGCCAAGGATAACGCCATGCGAAACATGGTAGATGACCTCGTGGGGGATGAGGCTGGACTGGATCCTTTGGTTGAAGAAGACGAGAACATCCCGCCCACTCCACCGGAGCAAACATTTGAAGACACCGCCGTTGTCGATGCCAACACGTTCGCCCCGGCAACCTTGTCGATTAATGACTTGGTCAACTCGGTCCAGAACTATAAACCCTCGTCTCCCGTTCCCCCTTCTGCAATGACGTCCATGCCCATGGGTAGGACAGGCTCTACATCTTCCATCCGCCAGCCGCCTAACTTACCTTCCGTACCGGACGGTCAATGGAACTCGAATTCCATCTGGAACCGTACGCCAGGTCCAGCGTCCCCGTCAATGATGAACAGCAATGGGTTCGGGAATGAAAATCGTAGGTCGCCCATGAACGGTACGAGCACTGGATTGTCCGGCCACGTCCGAGGAGATTCAGCCAATTCACTCCTGAGCACCGATGTCATCACTCACAGTGCTGTCAGGGCCCCGCGTCCGATTAGCGGTGGGCTCGGCAGTGGTGCCGCTTGGGGACTTCCGAGTGGTAGTTCGTCGAACTGGGGGTCGATCTATGGTAACAACTTCAGTGGCAACCCCCAGTATGGATACGCAAACGGCGCCAATATGGCGAGCCCACTTCTGTTCAGCTCCTACCCCAACGGCGCTGATAGCTCCTGGGGACGCACTCCACCGAACGGCCAGGGCGGTTGATTGACGATCGCGCAGCCGTAGCAGGCTGCTCATCGCTGTTTTCTCATCAATCGCTACTGACACCGAACGTCATTCAACACTACCAGCCGCGGTAGCACGCCAACCACGAAACACCATATTCGACAAAGATCGGCCCACTGATTATAGCACACCATGGCATGAAGGGTGACGACTCATGTCCGGCAATCTTCAGGCCCTAGTCCGAGGATTCGAGTTTTGCGCCCTTTCAATTTTACACTGCTTCGCTTGTCCCCCGGGTACCTTATCAGACGATCAACGTAGAGGAAGGAGGAAGGCGAGGTGCGCCGACACAAATTGCTTCGTGACATTCGGAATTGCTGCGTTTATAATTTGGAAAAACTTTAATTTCGACTTGGACAAGCATGCACAGGCTTGCATGGGTTACGTCCTCTCTTGCGCATCTTTGACGGCTAGATTCGCTGTTGAAAAGCCAGGAGGGCGTCCGTTGCTCGTCCTGAACTGCTTGGCTCCAGCGCGCTCATTATCCATCTGCTTAACATCACAAATACTATCTAGGAATTCTGCGTATCCTTGTGTGCTTGATTGCTTTTCCATCCGTGCTTACCATTAGCCTTGAAAAGTGTGAAACAGCTGCGTCTGTTCATACTCTTTCGTCGTGGGCACACATCGTGTTGCTGCAATGTACGCACGACACCGTATATGAGTATAGAATATATATGTTTACATCAAAGATCAAGTTCTGCGCTGGAATGTAAAAAGTTTAGGTAATAATACGAAGATCCTATGTGCTCTGTTTATTGCACGCCCGGCCATAAATCTCCCAAGATGTCAAGTTACAAATCGCGAAAAAAAAAGGAATACACGAAACATCCTAGCTGCCATTAATGGTGCGAGGGGTACACCAAAAAAAAATTATGTTGATTCATGCTCACTACCCGAATCGAACGAGTGATCTTCGCATTACAAGTGCGACGCCTTACCGCTTGGCCAAGCGAGCTGTGATTGGATTTCGATAATAAAATAGTAAATTTTCATTTCTATAATCAATTTTGCAAGGGAGTGATTGAGCTGCAAGCGCCCGGGAGGTCTGATAATGACAGATTTGTGGCACGGTGGGGCAAGGTGGGGGCGTAGGTAAAAGAAATTTAGACGGAAGAGACTGGCTTGGATATAAGGGATTTTTGTGGGAAATGCACGGCTGGAGATGGAGTGTGCAGACTAGTAAAGAAGAGGTTGGATACTAGGTGGTTATGATAAGCTTTGTAGGTTGGAATATAAGGATAGGTTAAAAGATAAAAGAGTACGGAGTCTAGAGCTAAATACTTCTACAGTTGCTTAAAAAGTTACATCTAGGCGCAAAGTTTAGTTTAAGCATTAGTTGCTTGCTTATTAGACATGAGACGACGACTATCGCAAGCTACTATACATGCAGTGACTCGGAACACAGTTTAGGTGTCTTCTTTTAGCAGGAAATAGGAGACTGCCAGGTGCAAACGAATTCGTGGATTTTACCCCACAGATTCCCTAGTAGTTATCGCGTGGCTGTGAAATAGGTACGGTACCGGTAGGTGGTCGGAGCTTCCGAGTCCGATTTACCTACTGTATATCATTGTCATCGTCAAAAGAGGCCAGGCAACACACAAATCTACAACTTCTCACCCCAACACCACCTCCCCCACAACACAGTCCTTTCCGAACGATCCTCTCCCATACGCCGCTCAAAATAACTCACCGCTTCCACGATCAACTGCTCAATCTGAAATAACACAGACGGAAAGGTTGCGAAAAGATGGCGGACCCGGGCATCGACATCGCGACCCTCACGCCCGACCAACAAGCCGCGCTCCAACAATACACAGCCGTCACCGACCAACAAGCCGACCAAGCGATCCCAATCCTGCAGCGCTCGCAATGGAACGTAAACATCGCCGTAACCCGATTCTTCGACGGCGAACCGACCGAAGACCCCGTCGCAGCCGCTGCGGCCGCCCAAGAACCCGCACCACCGCAAGACGTACGCCGACAAGAAACATTACTCAACGGTTTTGGAGGTGCCTCGCGATCCTCAACAAGTAGCAGTGGCCGACGCGTACGCATAGAACCTGCGCCCCGCGTCGTCCCGCAGCCAGAGGGCCAAGTCACTACACAAGTGCCGCTCGTTCTCGCCATATTCTTCGCCCCGTTTTCACTCGTATACTCTTTATTTGCAAAAGGTTTCCGGTTCCTGGGGTGGATATTTCCCTTCCTGCCGCGCGCATGGGGAAGGGTTACCGCGAACAATATTAACACACCCGCTTCACAACGGTCGGCGAGCGGACGGCGGCCGCTGAACCCGAGGGACACAGCGGCACGGTTTATCCGCGAGTTTGAGGAGGAGTACGGGAGCCATAATCTGCCCTTCTTCGAGAGCGGGTATGCGCAAGCGTTCGATCTGGCAAAGAAGAATCTCCAGTTCCTGCTGGTAGTCCTGATTAGTCCGGAGCACGATGAGACAGCCGGCTTCATCCGGGATACGCTGCTAGCACCGGAAGTGGTGGACTTTATACGCAATCCAGACAACAACATCATACTCTGGGCCGGCAACGTACACGACGCGGAAGCCTACCAAGTCTCGTCCGCACTATCATGCACAAAATTCCCATTCACGGGCTTAATCGTACATACGCCCCAAGTCTCGTCGACAGCCATGGGCATCGCCACACGCATCGCCGGCCCCGTCGCGCCCGCACAATACATCTCCAAGCTACGCGCAGCCATGCAAACCCACACCGAGCCCCTAAACCGCGTCCGCAACCAGCGAGCGGAACAACAAGCCACACGCAACATACGCGAGCAGCAAAACAGCGCATACGAGCGCTCCCTAGCCGCCGACCGCGAAAAGGCGCGCAAGAAGAAGGAGGAAGCTGAGCGCAAGGCCCAAGAAGAAAAACAAGCTCTCCAACGCGAGCAAGCTGCCGAACGCTATGCGCGCGATCTTAAGCAATGGCGCCGCTGGCGTGCTTCTACTCTTGCGGCTGAACCTGTCGCCGCACCGGATAAGGACGTTGTTCGTATCAGTCTGCGTATGCCCAATGCGGAACGCGTAGTGCGGCGATTTGAGTCTGATGCCCTGATCGAGGACCTTTATGCTTTTGTTGAGTGTTATGATTTCTTGAAGCCACGAGAAGAACAGGAGGAGGAGGAGGACGTCGACGTGTCAAATGTTGAGAAGCCAGAGGGTTTCGTGCACGAGTACAAGTTTCTCCTCGTTTCGCCGATGCCGAGAGAGGTTTATGATGTTCAGACTGGGGGCACGATTAAGGAGCGTATTGGGAGGAGTGGGAATTTGATTGTGGAGAGGTTGCATTTGGAGGAGGAGGAGGAGGATGAGGATGAGGTGGACGAGTAGGAAGAGTGAGAGAGTGCATTTTTTCTGGCGTTTTCTTTGTGGGATTAGCGTGGATTGAGGGTCAATAAAGTTCCCTTAACTAGATAGACGAAGAGACGGTGTAACGCGGGTGCATCTTTTACATACCTTCTCAGCCAACATCCCGCCCTCAGAAACTACGTTCAAACCAGTTTTTACACACTATGTTGCGTTCATTCTGTGTCACCTAATCACACACAATCGCCTGCAAACACTCACGGACACCACATTCCATAGTTTCATTGTTCATTCGTTCGATTTTTTGAGCAGCTGTAACGGGGGCTGAGGGTATCTAATCTCTCTGGCTGTTGAAGTGCCAAAATTTCTACATTGATGCTTTTTACCTACGCCAAAAAGGGGCATCTCATCTCTACCCCAGCCATACTTATGCATTTATAACCTTCCGTGTCAGGTGCGAACTCCGCAGAACCGGTACTCGTGTGTTTAGCAGCCCCTCGTAAATTGTTGAAATAAGACGAGCTTTTCAGCGCTCCCATTTTTCAGGTGTGGAAGACGCTTTCTAGCCACTGTAGGTTTGCTTGGGCTGGGGGTACGAAGGACCCAGCTCCTGGATGCTGAGCTTTGCGAGCCACTGGCCCATGTCGATGGCTTTTTCTAGCGGCTTGCCTTGGACGATACCGGCGAGGAAACCGCCTGCGAATGCGTCGCCGGCGCCGTTGGTGTCGTTGATCTTGTCGTCGCTGATTGCGTGGACAGAGACTTCTTTGATGTCGGCGGCACCACCCTCCTTTGCGCTGATGGCGATGGTTGGGTCGGTGCCTTGGGTGAAGATTACTGTCCTGGGTCGCTTGCTGTTCTGCTTGGGCAGGTTGGAAATGTGCTTTGCAATCTCCTTGACGTCTTTGGTGTCGAGGTTGTGCGATTCGGCGAAGGCGGCGGCTTCGGTCTCGTTGCCGATTAGGATGTCAACATACGGGAGGACTTCATCTAACGGATCCTTGAAAAACTGCGATATAAAGGGTGCGGACAGGTTGAGGATGAATTGCTGTTGGAGGTTAGCACCTGACTCGTCCTCGACTACGGGTCTTATGGGCCATCGTACCTTGTCCTTAGCAGCAGCCTCCTCAGCTAGCGCCTTGATGGCCGGTACACAGACCGTCAAGTGGAAGCCACCGACGTAAATCACCTTGGCATTCTCGACCTGCTTCCAGATGCGCTCCTGCTTCAAGTGGTCCAGCTTGTAGTTGTTTGCAGCAGCGAGATCGGTGCACATGGAGCGGTTGTGGCCTGTGATGACGACACCGCAGCGACCAGTGGGCGTCTTCTCATCGTAAAGATATTCGGTCTTGACGCCAGCGTTGGCCGAGATCTTTTCCAACATCTCGCCGTACTTGTCCTTTCCAATGCAGCCAATGTAGACGACCGAGTTGGGATCGAGCATGTATGCGGCGCCTCGGGCCGTGTTCTGTGCAGCGCCACCAGCGATGAGAACAGCCTTGTAGTTTTGAAGCAAGTCTTCATACAGACCCATGTGCTTCTCCGGGTCGGCGAGGATCGCATCGTTGGCCTTTAGGCCATACTTGTCCAGGAGGGCTTGGTCACTTTAGGAATCGTCAGTAAAGCTCGATTGTTTGAGCAATTGACGTACCCAACACCCTGGATATCCAGCAGCGGGTTCTCAAGGCACAGGAGTTCGTAGTTTCCAGGCATCTTGGTTCTGTTAGTCTGCGAGAAAAGACGTTGTTGGTGTTGTAGTGACGGAGAGAAAGTGCTGAATGTGGGGCAGATTCTCAGAACCCGAGGGGCAGCAAGCTTCACGCTAAGCCTTGCCGCCCACGACGGGGTACAAGGAAGGTGTAAGCGAGATAGTATTGTCGTCGGCCGTGACGTTGAGGCTATGAAGAATGGCATGCTTGACGGTTGTGAATGGTGGACGTCTGTTGAAGGATATGACTATATAAGCGTGCCTATTGGTAGTTCCTACGCTGCGTCTCGAAACGCACGCTCACCCGATATCAGGCCACAGCTCTCGAACCATGGCCAAGGGGAAATCTGAGTCGTGAAATCATGAAGTTGAATTTGGTTTCATTGCGGTATGAATAACCTGCATCTGCCACTTCGCTACATTCGCTCCGTCAATACAATGCGCAACTCAAAACACACAACCACATCTCCAACACTTTCAAGCGTCCCCTACCCATGATAGTATCCGTATCCATGCGCATGAGCCCCCCACCGCCCCGTAACCCTCCCCGATATCCTTGCGTGTTGTTATTGTCTCTCGTAAAAGAAGGTCCCGAATGTCCCGAATGACCCGGGTATCTCGAATGTCCCGAATGTCGCGGAAGTCCTCGATATCGGTTTTGTCCATGATGATGCTAGCTGGATGGACTCGAGTTGGAGGAATCCTATTTCCCCATGCCCCGTCCTGCCCGTACCAAGTCCTGGAACGCCGATTCCAGTGCTCGCTTCACTTCGCGGTAACTGACTATCAACACATTTAGCTCATCACGGCTGACGAGCGGAATCTTCTCATCAGTGCCGGCGTCAAGCTTGTTCAAACAGTCTAGAACGTGTGCGAGATCTGTGACGGGGTGTCCGTTTGCATCCACTTGATGGAACACGTAGTC